TTTTGAAACACTTAATTAAAAATATACTTCTTTTACAGACTTCTGCAAGTTATCTTTTGCTGAATAAAACTTACGGAAAACGAATATACTTGGAAATTTCTGGTGTAAACTGCTGTTTTCGTAAAAGGCAGTTGGTTTATCTTGAGAAGAAGTAGAAATTGACAGACTGTTTAGCAAAAGTCTAGTAATTTTGAGGCCTCTTTTAGAATTATTTGCTGAGTTGAGATTCCCAACCTCTCTCAAGTCAAGTCTCTGATGCTCACGGAATAGTTTTGACTGTTGATTCCTGCAGTAGATGAAGTTTTGAGCTGAGATGTCTTGGTACAGCTCCTAAGTCAGGAGGTAATTATGAGAACAAGGTGGCAAAGGAACGTTTCCTGTGCTTCAAAAAGGTCTGATCTGGCTCTGGTTCTTAGATAAAATGTCTTCATCTGGAAGTGGTTGTGAATGAGGTGAGAATTATTCTTTTTCTTAACTGTAATCTTAACGCTGTCCAGAGACAAGTGCTGTTTGTTATTTATATCCAAGGAAGTAAGAGACTCGCAGGCTGTACATGGGCTCACAGCAGGTCCGTAAGGTAATATTTTGAATTTTGTTTCCTGTGACTTGATATTTATGCCTGTACCTTCAAGTTTGTCCCTGCCTCTCCTGGCCAGAAAGAATTTCGATATCCAAACTATTTACAAAATGTTTTCCTAAAACCTCTGCCTGCAGCGCTTTTCAATTCACTCCTAGTTCAGGGGTGCCAGCGCTGTTAGTGAAGAAGTGCAAACTGGTGAAGTATTAAGTGTTCACGAGCAAATAAACGCCGGGGGTGCCCTGCTGATTTCGGAAACTTAATTCTACTTTAAGTCAGCTGTGGTTCCTTTTAAAAGGCGTTTAACATTGGTCCATGCCAGAAGAGCGATTCAGCATTTGGAGGTGGAAGAACACATGGCAGTTTCTACAGCACGCTTCTAAGGATATATTTTAGTGACCTTTTATGTGCTTCCCCTGTTCGTGTGCTTGCTAAGCAGGGCAAGCAGCAAGTTTTTCCTTACTGGTATTTTTTGCAAAAGACAGTGATGGGTATTATCTTTTATTCCCATTATGACTTGCTATAGCAGTAAAAGGACCAGTGATGTCATTTGATGGCAAGTATTTGATGGTTGATTATGGTATTGAGCTAGGGGTATGTTGGAGTTTAACATCTTTTTTTTAACTGTATTTAACTGTCTCGCAAAGCATCTGTAGAAAGCTTTGACATACTAGACTGAAAGTATTTTCCATATACTAGAAAATCTTTAAAATCTAGAACCTTTGTCCCTTTGGGCCATTTTAAAAGCATAACAAATGACGCGCTGGCATGCAGCAATTCTATTAGCACGTTGTCATAACTTTTATTACCACCTGCCTATCCAAGCCATCTGGGAGGAAAGGATGTAAGATATAAAAGTGACAGTTACTCAGAGGAAATTAAATAGTCCTGTGTATCTCAAGCTCCTACATTTGTCTTGCCTTTAGACCGGAGAAGCTTTCTAAAACTTCTCTGCATATGTAAGATGGAGGTAATGTTTAGGTGCATTTTAAAATCCTGTTGAGATACAGAAAGTAGCTGTTAAAGTTTCAATTTTTGCATCACACGATTATCTATTTCCTGCCCCAATTATATGATTGATGGCTACAGTCTTCTGGAGTTTGCTCCTTGGAGACCTGTGAAAGGTACAGGAATTTAGGATTAACTTCTGCTCTCTGTCCAGGAAACCCTTCAACTTCTCCGTGTGTTCCAACAGGCCTGATGAATGTGCCATTGTAACATAAAAAGATGT